CCGGCGACGAGGCGGCGTTCCGGCCGACGGAATCCGGGGGCGACGGGGTTGGGCCTCTCCCTGATCCAGATGGGACCGAGAGGAGAGTGGGAAAGTGGGGGAAGGGGAGGCGCCCGGCGATGGAGAGGCGGGGCGGGGTCGAGGCGGCACTAGGCGGCGGCGTACGGCGTCGGCCCGATCCCGATTGGATCGGGAGGGGAGGGAGAAAGCGCGTGGGGGCGAGTGGGGAGGAACCGCTAGGGTTCGGTCGCCCCAGCGGGTGAGGTAGGCGCTGGCTGGGCCGGCCTGTTTGGCACCGAGGCCATCTGGGCCAGTGGGACGTGGGAGGGGGTTCCCTCTTTTTTTGTTTTGTTAGTTTCTTTCTTTTATTTATTTTCCTTTTTTCTTTATTTTTTTTGTGTTTTCTTTTAGTTTCCATTTATTTTTGTTTTAGTAAAATACTATAATGGCGCCTAATTTGCTGTTAACAAATATGCCACTGCCACATTAGCTTGCTACCCAAGATAAATTAGTTTCGCAATTAATTAATATTTAAAAGTATATAAATAATAGTTTTCACTACTGTTTCAATTATCTTATAGTATTTAAATATCTTATAAAGGTATGGTTTCTCCATCATAATTACCTATGTAATATTTGGTTCACCCCGAACATTTTAGTTTTAAGATTTGAAAACTTTTATTGTTTGCTTAATTTTTAAAGTTTGAACTAGGTTTCGAACTGGCGCGAGTCTATAAACAGTAATCCGAGGTGACGTGGCATCATTAGCGGAGGTTCACTGTAGCTTAACTATCCGGGCGTCACACAAGCATAATTCTGGCTGGATCACGGAACACAACCAGAAGGAACAAATGATTCATAGCCATTTCAAGAACATCGCTAAAAAAGATCCCACACGCAACATTGACATTAATTGGGGGATCATTCCAACTCCATATTGTGACCTTCAGGAGTTGGATGCAGCCATCACCGAGGAGGAGGTCAAGGCTGCGGTTTTTGCCTTACCTTCTGACAAAGCCCCGGGCCCGGATGGCTTCACCGGTGCTTTCTTTAAAGCATGCTGGAACATTATCAAGGGAGATCTCATGTTGGCCATTTGTCGCTTCTCTGACTTGCATGCCACCCATTTCCATTGGCTCAATTCCACGGATATCGCACTCATTTCTAAGAAAGATGGGGCTGAAGATATATCGGACTTTCGACCCATCAGTCTCATACATGCTATCGCGAAAATTATTGCCAAAGTGATGTCCAACCGGCTTGCCCCACACATGAACGACCTTGTTTCACAGGCGCAAAGTGCTTTCATCAAACGACGATGTATACATGATAACTTCATTTACGTGCGCAATCTTGCGAGGCGTTTCCACCAAAACAAAACACCAGTGTTACTTTTCAAGCTTGACATCAAGAAGGCCTTCGACTCTGTTCGCTGGGACTACCTCCTCGACCTTCTCAAACACCTTGGAGTTCCTCCGCGCTTCCGTGGTTGGGTTTTGACTCTCTTGGCTTCGGCATCTTCGCGAGTCTTGCTCAACGGTATTCCGGGCAACCCTATTAAGCTTGGGAAGGGCTTGAGGCAAGGAGATCCTCTATCCCCCTCCTTTTCGTCCTGGCGATCAATCCTCTACACCATATTCTCAAGAAGGCTACTGCCCAAGGAAAGCTGCACCCTCTTGGTGGTAACACTATGACGATCAGGGCGTCCCTCTACGCGGATGACGCGGCTGTTTTTCTTGCTCCCATCAAAACTGAAGTCGAGTTCTTTGTGGACACGCTGGCCCACTTTGGAGAGATTACAGGCCTGCATACCAACTGCTCGAAAAGCCTAGTGGCCCCAATCCGATGTGACAACTTGGATATGAATGATATCCTCCTCTTCTTCCCGGCCAACCGATCATCTTTTCCTATGAAATACCTAGGACTGCCGTTGTCGATCAAAAGATTAAATAGAATCCACTTCCAACCCCTCGAGGATAAGATTGCAGCTCAACTTACGTCTTGGATGGGCAAACACGTCACATCGCCTGGAAGGGTTGTGCTTGTCCAGTCGGTTGTAACGGCGATTGCTATATATTACTTAACGGTGCTAAACCTCCCTGTTGAGGTCATGAAAAAGATCGACTCCCTGCGGCGTGCATATCTCTGGGCTGGTTGTGACAAGGTTTCTGGTGGAAAATGCAAAATCAACTGGGAGCAAGTGTGCAAATCTAAAATGCATGGTGGCCTAGGTATTCTCAACTTGGAAAAATTTGCTACTGCCCTTCGCATCCGGTGGTTGTGGGGAGCTTGGACGGATCCAAGTAAGTCTTGGGTAAACTTGGGGAATCCGTGTGATGACAAAGATAAAGACATATTTGCTGCTGCCACCAAGGTTCTGATTGGAGATGGGATAAGGGCTTCGTTTTGGGAGTCTGCTTGGCTGAATGGTATGAGACCCAAAGACATCGCGCCAAATATGTTTGCGATCTCTGCAAGAAAAAACTGCACTGTCCAGAAGGCCTTACATAATAACACATGGGTCTCGAGAGTGGACATTGGTGGGAACCTTGATGTGAATCACATAGCCGAGTTCGTCAACCTTTGTAGTGAGCTATCACACATTCACCTCAACCCCGGCCTGGCTGATTCAATTTCCTGGAAGCTCATCAATGATGGCCAATATTCAGCGGCGACGGCATACCGTGCATAATTTCTTGGCCTTATCGACTCAGATATGCCTCTTTTGGTCTGGAAGAACTGGGCTCCTCCCAAATGCAATTTTTTTTGCTTGGTTAGCCATCAACAATAGGATTTGGACGGCAGACCGGCTTCAGCGTAGGGGCTGGCCCAACTGTAACCTTTGCCCGCTATGCAAACAAACGCCAGAATCAGCAGCTCACCTTCTCTTCCAATGTCATTAAACGGTTAGAGTTTGGGGAATGATCAAAACATGGCTCGGTTTACATGATGTCCATCCTACGGATTGGGGAGGCATGGTTTCAGTCAAGGAGTGGTGGTGCAACATAGCTTCCGGGAGGTCACAATCTCGAAGGGCACTTCTTTCCCTTATGCTTCTTATCTCTTGGGAAATTTGGAAAGAGCGAAATGCACGTGTGTTCCGCAGCACGGCAATTCCGGTCGGGGTGCTTGTGACTCGCGTCAAAGCGAAAGCTTCGCTGTGTTGCCTTGTTGGGGCGAAATATTTGTGTAATATAATGCCGCGAGAGTGATGCTTGTAACCTGGTCTTTTGGCCAAGACTCTTAAACCTTCTTCTTATTCAATGAAAATGGCAAGCCTTTTGCCTTGTTTCAAAAAAAAAACATGTAGTCAACTGTCAACTTTCTTATTGCTGCCCATATGGCTTAAGCTTCTGCTACTAATACAGTACTGATCAATCTAGGTTTACCACTTTTTAGATAAAAACATGAAACAGGGATTAACCTCGACCCTTCTTCACCTATAATATACGTGATCACATCACTATGCATGCCTTGTCTGAATAGATGTTAGGACTTAGGAGACCTTGAATGGCTTGTACCCTGCGACGTCCTTGATGAGCCCCTGCACAGAACCAGCTGCGGCGAGGACAGAGACGACAAGGCACGCGACGCTAAGCACGTTCATCCACGTCCACGTCGGCGAGAACCGGCGCACCTTGGCCTGTGCCATGTACATCTCAACGGGGAAGTAGACGGTGAGCGGCCAAAACGAGACGGCGCCAATGAGGCCAAGGAAGTCGTTGAAGAAGGGGAACAGCATGGCCACCACCGCCGTGAGAACCACGTACGCCGTTCGCCAGACCAGGCGGAACGGGCTAACCGGGACCTCGCCGCCTCCGAGAACGGCCGGAAGGCGCAACACGCGCTCGGCATGGAGGAAGGCGCTGTCGGGCCACCGGGAGCGCGCCCAGCCCTCGACGAACTGGTAGATGGGCTGGCAGAAGACCTGGTAGGCGCCAACGAGGTGCACGACGATGCAAACGTTGCCGATGTCGACGAGCCAGAAGGGCTCGTAGAAGCCGAAGCCCGTGAGGAAGTTGCCCGGGGCGCTGCTGCCGAACGCCGCGTAGCCCAGCACCCCACACAGCATGTAGAACGTGGTGGTCGTGGAAACGCCGATCAAGGACGCCTTCTTCATCACCGTGTTCTCCGCCGGGCTCGACCGCAGCGTGTCCTGCACCAAATGAAATCCTTTATTTATTAGTTCTACTCCTACTGTTTTTGACTGCGAATTCGACATTGCCACTCTGTGGGTTCTCTCTAATAGCCTGCATATTTTCATCAACAAACGACATTCGCACTGGTCTACCAAAGGAAAATCAGTGCTATTTAGCATTTCTAGAGCACTGGTTGTCCTTTTTTGCCTTGGATACTCTAGATTGTTCATACCCATGCAGAACCTGCACCGTGGAGTTTGCACTCGGTTCAGTGCAGAGCAGAGACCCTCTCTAATTGACTACTGCCTAGTAGCCTGATCTGATCTACATAGAGTGGCAGGAACATGGACTGCAAAGGTTGTCCTCTTGATAGGGTCATAGGGTTCACCCATACCGTTTTCCTACAGAATTTGTCCTCCAGCAAGATCCAACAGGTCACGGGGATGGTCTCACATTTTCTGAGTCATTTTTTCCCCCCTTTTCTCAAATGAGGTACTACTATGGTTTCCAAGAACTACGTCTAGTCATATGAATGTAGTGTACAAACAATCATCTATTTCGATCATAAATAACTAGGGCGATATGACAATAGCCCTGTATGTCTAGTGTTAATTACCTGGATTTCGATGAGCACATTGGAGTAGGAGTATGCAAAGGCGATGTCCCCAAGAGACTGGAACGTCCTCCAAATTTTCTCACGCCCGGATACATCCACCCCAACGGTCACCCCTGTTAGCGTTGTCTTGGCATGCACCCCACCTACAACAATCAATCAGTCACCAATGCAAGATCTATATGCATTGCACCATGGAGCCAACATGGCTGATACCAACAAAAAAGATGCATCATGATCCATCGACATGTCAAATGTCCTTTTGCACCACCAACAACAAAAATCTTATCACCACCATCTCTCTCTC